GTCATCTCGTTTGTTCATGCTGTGTGGGCGTTTTTCTATCTCTATGGCTTCTCTGATTATTCTGCTGTTGAAGTGTTCGGTTTTGGCGATAGTTCTGGTATTTTTAAAATCAATTTCATGTCCTGTGGCTTTGAGGTGTTGGACCAGGGAAGAGGTCGTTTCTTCTTTTTTGATTGAGTTCTTATGTTCTTCAATGCCAGACAGATTCTAGGAGGATTGCCAAAGGACTGTGATAACAGAGCAATTGAATTTTCTGTCTCTGGTTTTGTTTGTGTAAAGTATTTGAACTCTGTAACTTGAGATTCTCACCTGTGGATACAGGTGGGACAGAACACACACATATATATATATATGTGTGTTCTGTCTCACCTGTGACCACGAGGTGAGAGTCCAAGTTTCCAAAGGAATATAAAGGACCAGGAATGACAGAGTTAAATTCCTTTGGCTGGAGAAGTCCTTGGCAGTCTTCCAAAAGCTGCCTGCCAAGTCCGATAACAAGACAAGACCATATATCAAAAGCAAACGCCGCACAGAGAATTTGTCAAAGCTTCTATGCCAAATAAACAAGTTGTCCTGAACAAGGATTCAGAGCTAACATGCCCCCTTTTATTTCCTGAGGGGCGTGTCAGTTTCTCATCTCAGTCCCTGATTTGACATTTCCTTTTACATTGCATTTCACGTCTATGTCTACGTCTTTGCCTTGCATCAAACCAACATTCCTCAGTCAGAGGCTCCGCTACGCTGTCCTGATTATCTGCCGACACCTGAGGCACAACCAGGGAGGAAGGTCCTGGGGAGGAAGATGATTCCGAATCCTCCAGCAAAGCAGGCTCAAACCTCAGAGCCAAATCCTCCTCTTCCTCCTGGCTCAAGTCTGTGTCTTCCAGCAAAGCAGGCTCAAATCTCGAGGCCAAATCCCTCTCTTCCTCATTGCTTAAGTCTGTATCTTCTAACAAGGCAGGCTCAGACCTTCGAGTCACAACACTATCCCTCACCACAGGGCCCTTCCCCTGAGTCTGACAATCCAGATGTGGTTTCAATGGAAACTGTGCATGGAATCTCCGGATAAGGTCCAGGGCTTGAATCGTGGAAGCAGTGAGAATCTTTAATGCCAACCACCGTGTCATCAGCAGAGGAATCATTGCCGGGTATAGATGGAGAAACCATACCAGCGGGGGAACAGAGAGTACACAATGGGGCATCAGGGACCAGAAGGGAATGGTGGAAGATAGGATGAATGCACATAGAGCGCAGTAGGGTGAGCCAATATGCAACGGGATTGATGACCGCCTCGATAGGAAAGGGACCAATGAAGCGATGGTCCAACTTCTTAATTGGACGGTCGACCCATAGATGCTTCGTGGATAACCACACCCTGTCTACCACAGCCAATGGAGGCATCACCCGACGAGTTGGTCCTAGAACACTGCCTTGGGGGACACCACTGTTGACAGGTACAGAATTTGGTAGGATGCTCCCAATTTTGACCATTTGTTGTCTGTTTGACAGGAATACTTCTATCCAGTTATACAGGTATCTAGAGAAACCATAAGATTTTAGTTTTAGGAGTAGTTTGTCGTGTACCACTGAATCAAAGGCTTTACAGAAGTCTATGTAGATTGTGTCTGTTGCTTTGCCCTGATCTAGTTGTGTTGTTCATATGTTTTTGCAGTGTAAGAGTTGCAGATTGCAGGATAGTTTTTTTCTGAAATCAAATTGTTGAAAGAAACATTTCAATTATTATTTCTGACATTTGTTGCAAGTTTTAGTTCATTATGAGCCTTAGTTTTCCTGACATCATCATTGCAGATTTGGGCTATATGTTAAAAATTGAAACTTTTAAAAATTAAAATATATTTATGATAAAAAACATTTTTAGTTTTTTTTAAAGATCTGCATGTGCTTTTTAAAGGTATATTTGAAAGTAGGCTGGAAATGTGTTCATCCATGGATGCCACTGATCACTTTTAATGTGATTTTTAATTTCTTTTTATTAAAGTGGTCAGTGACATCCACAGATGGAAACATTTTAATGCCTATTTTCAAATATGTGCTTAAAAAGCACATTTGTCTAATTTGCACTAAAAATTAGACAAATGTTATTTCAGGTCCCTTATTCCTTAGTAAATGATAGCATGCAGTTTGGTTTTTCCCACAAGCCTACCAGAATGAAAGTTAATTACAAGATAGTGATTAAATGCTATGTTATGTTTAAATAGTAATGGCAAATTATCACAGAATGGATTTTGTATTAATATTTTAAAATTTAACAGAGGTTACTATGAATGCAGTCCTAATTTAACATCTCTGTATTTGCAATGTGCAGCAATCAAGTAGAGTCAAGATGTGATTATTTTAGTCTCATTTTTTAATGTATTTATATCCCACCTTTATTATCTTTATGGCTTCTTCAGCTGTAACAGGATAGTGGGGAATGGAAGGATCTTGAGCTCCATTTTTGCTGGCAGAGGGCTGCAGGATGCCGTCATGGCCAAAAATGGAGCCCAGGCAGGCTGTGTGTGGCCTCCCCAACTCCATTTTCACTGGCAGAGCGCTGCAGGAGGCTGTCAGGGCCAAAAATGGCCAAAAACAGAGTCTTGATGAGTGACATTGTCCACCCTGACCACGCCTGCCCAGCCTTGAGGTCAAACACAACTCGGATGCGTCCCTCAATGAAATCGAGTTTGACACCTCTGATTTAGCATTTTCAGAACAACTATCTTGTTCATCAAATACTAATCAACAATCTTGACAACCTTGTACTTATATTTCAGGAGGTGATGAGGAATTTGGTTAAGAGATATGTAGCAGCAATGATAAGAGATGCTAAAACTGAAGAGGGACTAACAGAAGAGAATTTTAAGGTAACTGCTTAAATGAACAATTTAATAACATTATTAATTAACAATATGAAATGAACAATTTAATAACAATGAATCACAAAGTTTCAACTGAGACCTGTTTAATATATGAATTTACATAGCATATAGTTCAAAAATAAAATTATTAATTGAGTTATAATGTTATTTAATAAAATATAATTGTTTAATCAATCTTTCAAAAACAACTCATTTTCTAATATAGTTTTTTTTAAGTTGCATGCAACATTTATTTTCTTCTACCTCTTCAGGAATTAAAGCAAGATATTTCCAGTTTTCGCTTTGAAGTATTGGGTCTTTTAAAAGGAAACAAACTGGGTAATATACAACACTCTAAAACTAGCACAGAAGCCTCCTCCTTGACAGAATCTGATGAAGGAAGTGAAAGTGGAGGAAATGAAAAAATCATGAAGAAAAACCTCAGCCTTTTCGAAATAACTACAATGATTCACCCAAGAGTAGTAGCAAAAGTCTCTAAAGCACACAACCAAAGCAATGGGTCAGCAATGATGTCAACTGAATCCATGAAGGAAAGACAAAAGAAAGTTAACTTTGTAGCTGAGGTAAAAAAGCGTAGGTTGTTTCATAGACAATCAAATAATGGCTCTATTGAGCATAGTACAAATAAAATTTATTCAATTTCTGAAGAAATTTCCCATCAACAAACAGAAGAACATAAGAGAGTAATTGAACTGGGAGATAAATCATTGGCTGTGAACTGTGAGCTAAACAAACAGGATCTCAGTGCAAAGTGCACAGTTCCCAGTAATGAGCAAGGTAGAAAGGAGACTTTCGACTGTATGCTGAATAAGAAAGCTGCTTCCTCTGACTGGAAAACCACCAAGGGGCAGGACTCTAATTTTCCCAGAGAAAGTGATTTGCTAAACAATGAGCAGGACATCAACATCATAAAGGAAGAAACAAATATTCAGAGCAGCTATATGACAACAAGGTTGTGATGAAAGTAGGCAGAACCTGTCAAATTATGTATAAATTGTAAAATGCTTTGAAACAGAAATATTTAAACTTAACTACCAAATACAGTATTAGAATATTCAAAAACTGTAGGGCAAAATATTGTAATATAATTCTATGACGAAAAATAAACAGAAAAATCTGCTTTGTAACTCATTTTTGTTTTTACAATTACTTTTACAGATTTTATTAAGCAGGAGTGTCTGGTATTCTTGTATTGTTGCAATAAATGCAGAAAGGTTTATAGATACCTTCTTCAATCTGAATTAAAAAAACATTTTCTCTGTGATAGTTGGTGCTTATAGTAAATATTTTTCTATGCAAATAAACATAGCTTAATAAAGGTGTGAGCCAATATGAATGTGTTTTAATGTTTCCTATTGAACCATTAAAATGTTTCGTATCTGTATATTATATTTAAAAATATGTATATCTTTTTACTGACTGAATAATTATAATTTTTCATTAAGTTATAAATAAATAAAATCTGAAACTTTCCACATTCATTTTTAAATAATTATTTTTTACGCACTAAGAAATATTTATGTTAAAATATTTCGTCAATAAGAAACCAGGTGTCTTTCAGATATTCAGTTATAAATCCCATAAGCCGTAGCCAATAGATCCCAGAGCCTGTTATTGTAGTTCAGCTTTTTTGCAGGCAGTTTTCTGTACCTGGAATATTAGGACTGACCATTTTCATTCATTAAAATATTGTGAATTCTATAATGTTTATCCGATTCTGATAACAAAGAGAAAATTAAATTATTCCTTTGAAACTATGATTTCAAAATAAACTTACTCATATATTTAGGAAAAAAGGATTTACCCACTTTTGTTAATAAATCTAATAAATTATTAGTTTAATAAATTCAATAAATAATAAATCTTAGTTCATTTTATTTTATTTTGAATAGAATAGAATTCTTTATTGGTCAAGTAGCTGGAATTAATGATTTTTAATTTTGTTTTAGTAATTGGAAAAAAGATTTTCTGGAATCATAGAGTATTGTACATAATTTCAAATGCTAATCAGAGATTCAAAATTATAAAGCTAGAATAAAACACAACCTGAAAAGAAAAAGTAAAATAAAGCATAAACCGAAGACTCAGTTGAGAGACAATTCCAAACAGCACACGACTGTGATGACTAATAGGCATCAATATTCTAGCATGGCCTTTATTTCTCTTCCCCCCCTTGTAACCTTTGTTAACAATTCTTATTCTCATTAGATTAGGAACTGGATGATTGCCCTTCCTCTGAAAATGAAATTCTAATAGGAGATTAAGGAGAGCATATTGTCTGTACTAGAGGTAATTTTAAAGGAGACATAAATTTGGTTGTTAATAATTATTTTTAACAGCTCAAATAATCTTTGCTGTATTCAGCTTTTGGATGTCAATTAAAAATAGATGAATTAATGACTTTAATGGAAAATTATATTTTCAAATCAGTTAATAACAAATAACATATGATTCAAAACTTTAATCCATGGATAGTACAGACTATACAAACATGTCCAGTTAAAGAGAATATGGAGGGGAAGTTAACTTTACAGAGACATAGATTTTTCCTTCATGTTGTTGATATGCCTTTGAATAAGATCAGGTGGTATAATAGGTAATAATACTAAACTACAATTCTCAGTGTATGGTTAACCATAAAGAGTTCAGTTGCCTATACACTAATGCTCAGAATCTGGGGAATAAACAGTGAAATCTTGAAATCTTAGTACAAGAGGGGAAGTAAGGCTATTGTTGCCATTGCCAAAACTTGGTGGATGGAAACTCTCACTTGGAGAGCTTGGCATAGAGTTTTGTGACATGGAGCTTGCTTAGGACTGCATGGACAAGTTTCACATGCTTCACTTTCATTTTGGTATAAATTAATATGTTGTCAAGGTACACCAAAACTCTCTTGTAAAGGTACTCAAGGAGCACCTCATTTATCAGAACACAGCAGGGGCCCTTTTGCAGTCCAAAAGGGAGCATGTTAAATTGAAAACATCCCAAGAGGCAGTTGAAAGTGGTTTTCCATTCATCCCCTTCTTTAATTTTGACCTGATAATAGCCCCCTCCCCACTTTTCAGGCCCAACTTAGGAAAAATCTTTCCGTTGGACAGGTGAGCCAGTATATCCTTCATGAAGGGGAGAGGGTACACATTTTCCATGCAAACTATGTTCAGATCCACATGTAAAAGAAACTCATCTTCTAGAACAACACCGGGGCAGTTACCTTGAGTCTGGCCGGTTGGATGAAGCCCTGGGCTAGGTTCTTTTCTATAAAGACATATAGCTCCTCAAACTCCCTGGGGGACATGGAATATAGTTTTGGATTTGGCAACTTAGCCCTGGGGACAATCTCAATTACACAGTCTATGGGCTGATAGGAGGAAGTTCATCCAAGCCTGTTTGGCTGAACACTTTGACTAGGCCTCAGTACTCCAGAGGAATGCCCTGCAGTGGCTCACCTTTTGAAGTTGCGGCTGGTTCCTTACTTGGCCGACCTTCCTGCTTGTGGCTGCTATTGCTGGGGGCTGGTTCCTCCTCTCGGGAATTTCAAAATTCCCTCCTTCCAGTTCATTTGTGGGTTCCAACATTTCAGCTAGGTAAACCATTCCTAGGGGCCATTTCATCCCAGGTGCCACTATAAAGATTAAAGTCTCTTGGACTTCTGGTGGCATTTCTGTCGTGGATGGATCGAAGTCTGTGATCATGCATGGCTTTGATCCATTGGAGGTCTCCAAATGGATCCAGATCCACCCTGGAGGGGTGGTGAAAAGGGGGGAGACTGCCTGTTGGGTTGAGGGGAGCCACATCTCCCCTCCCTGGCTAGATATACTCCCAAAAATGGGCTATAGCAGTGGTCTAATATGGCCACCTTGAAGACATAAGGCTAACCGGGACATAAGATTGTGCAGGAGTGGTGAAGTAGCGGACAATGTAGAGACCAGGCAAACCAGGTGCAATATATGGACATAAAGGTGTTATGTCTCACCCTTCCAAGGAAGATGAAGAGTCCAAACTCCGACAAATACAGGCAGGCAAGAAGATTCAGTATTTACAGAGTTAATTCCTTTATACAGACAATGTTCTTGGCATTATAACGAACACTGCCTGCCAAGTCTGACAAGATAACCAGAAGAATTAATCACTAAAGCTTCCAACACAGACCACAAGAAACAAAACACACCGAAGCCTGACAGAAAAGTAAAACTTTGTCCCATACAGAGTTTCCAGAGAAAACACACCCACTTTCATCCCCTGAGGGGTGTGTCTCAGTGACTCAGCTCACTCTCTGATTTGCCCACACCTCCTACATTGCAGCTCACACTTCTTCCTGAGACGCTGTCTAGGATCAAGCCAACATTCGTCTACTTGATTCCCTGTCAGAGGCTGCTCCGATATGCCCTCCTCCTCCTGATTAGTCTCAGGTTGTCCCTCTCGGTTATCTGCTGAAACCTGAGGTATTATCAGGGAGGAAGGCATTGCCGAAGAGGAAGGTCCTGGGGAGGAAGGCATTCCCAATTCCTCCTCCTCATCTTCCAAGTCCTCTTCCTCTAACAATGCAGGCTCAGGAATTGGAGCCACAACATAAAGGTACCCCAAAATTAAGATATAAAGAAATTTTTAAGAAAGACTATAAAGCAGCAACCAGAGAGAGAGAGAAAAGAAGGGTGGAAACAAATGAAAGAGGCTTTGAATTTTGAAAAGAGCTAAACTGAAGGTGGAAACTAGAAGAAAATATTTGCTTAAATATATGATCTTGGCACTAAACAGGCATAATCGAATGCTGAACATGAATGTATTAAGAAGAAACAATAATTGGATACATTGAATTATTGAAATTTAAAAGCCTCAAATAGGGAAAAGAAAGTGGAAAAAAAGGGTGGAACTTGGACATAACAGAGAGCGCTAAGGGAAAAATTTCAGCGAATCTTTAAAAAGTGCTTGGTTCTTTTAAACTGGAATTTGATACAAAATAAGAGGAACTTTGTTACAATAAAACAGAAACCCTGAAAAATGAAAAAACAGAATACTATAAAGATTATATTCTTAAAAAGAACCATGAAGAAATTCGCTTGGGATTACTTGATGCCTTTGGAAAAAATTAAGGATTCAAAAGAAGGTACCTAGAAATAAAAACTTATGGATATTGGACTATTTGGTGACTTTTGAAAAAAATTAAAGAGGAATTAATAGAAGTTGATTGTTGGAAATAAACATCAAATACACTGGTTGAATTAAATTACTAGACAATTGGTTTGGACTTAAATATCAAAGAAAGGGATAAATAAAAAAAGAAATGCACAAAAATGGCAGAACTTTTTTTGGAAATACAATTGGAACTAAGAAGCATAAAGAAAATGTTACGTGTATCTTAGGTAAATTTGCATTCTGCAGGTACTGTTTAACTTTCTCCTCATCAATGTCTTCTTTCTTATATAAATGTTTGTAAAAATCATGAATAATTTCTTTTTTCTCTTTGCTGCCATGACAAATTTGACCTTGGTCATCTATTAACTGCAATATTTTCCTCGACTCTTTCTCCTTTCTCAACTTATATGCTAGCCATCTACTTGGCTTATTTGCATCTTCAAAATAATTCTGTTTAGCATTCCTAATTTTCTGTGCCAGTTCTTCTTTCTCTATTAAGTCCATTTTATGTTTAGTTATATCCAGTTTCAGTTTAACGTCTTTTTTCTGTGGCATTTTCTGCAGTTCTTTTTCGAGTCTTTTATATTCATCCTCCAAGGCTTTGAAAGCTTGCCTTTTCCTAATATTCTTTTTTCTTATATAGTCTATTATCAAGCCTCTGGCATAAGCCTTCATTGTATCCCAAACATTCTGTATTGAAGTGTCTTCTTTTCTATTTTCTTTAAAAAAAAAAGGCCAGTTCTTTCTCCATCCATTGTGTAAATTCTTTCTCCTTTAAAATAGTATTATTTAACGTCCATCTCGATCTTTTTTTTTGTCCCTTCCATTTAATTGTCAATGGGTTATGATCAGCCCAAGTACTTGTTTCAATATTTACTTCTTGAACGCTAGATATTAAGTCTGTTGAGATCCAAATCACATCAAGTCTGGACCATGATAAATGTCTATTTGAATAGAAAGTATATTGCTTAAGTTTAGCATTTCTTTCTCTCCATATGTCTTTTAGAGTTAATTCATCTATCATTTTAAAAAAAGATTTAGGAAGAGTTTTTCTATTATACTTTGCTGTTGTTGCAATATAATCAAGTTTATTATCCACAATTCCATTGAAGTCTCCCATCATAATTATATTAACATAGTCCAGTCCAGCCATCTTGGTATGTAATTTTTTATAAAATTCTTCCTGTTTATCATTCGGGGCATAAATTGCAATCAAAAGTATCTTTCTATTGTTGTCCATTATTTCCACCA